ATTAACAAATTAAGCAAACTCAAATTTTAACTCAATGTAAACAATATATATAACTCAATCTCAGACAAGATCAAAGCATATGTGATATAAAAACTTATTCAGATTTAATGAAAGAGTCTTCACACATCACAGGATCACTTAATATTCAGACTAATTAATAAATCAAACACAAATTTTATGCAGATAAACTAATCTCAGACCATATCAAAGCATATGTCAAACACATATAACCATATTTAAAACGATTAATCAAAGTAAAATATCTATTACCAATCACATAGCAAACACAGTAATGTACAAGACAAAGGAAAAGATGGTCTAACCTGTCGTGTAATAAGAGCCAAAGATAACCTTCAGATTCCCATTACTTCAAACAGCAACACTTGCAAAACAAAATGAGAGAATGAGTATATCTAGTTCCATGTGTTTGGTAATGCAAGAATGTGTTAGAAAAGCACTTAAAAGATCTAAAGATTCAGATAACAGATCAATACAAAAAGTCAGAACTTACAAGACCAACCAATTGTATCCGACAATAAGAACAAGTCAATACAAATAGTTTTAATAGAATGTCAACAAAAAATTCTAAATCTCGAGAATAGGTCAATACAAGTTATCTAAAAATCTAAGATTTCCGAAAGCAAAATTGTGCATCCTATTTATCAAGCTACGCCTAAATCAAACCACACAAACAAATAGTTCTAATTAAGCAAAGAACACGGACATGCAAAAGACAAAAATAAGAACACGGACATGCAAAAGACACAGAACTTACAAACTATGAATTTCTTTTTCAGACGAACATACCAAATAAGAAAAGACAAACTTGAATCTAAACACAAACAGAAATATAAAACAAAGCTGCCACAAACTATCAATTTCTTCTTCAGACAAACATACCAACTAAGCAAAGACAAACTTGAATCTAAACACAAACACAAATATAAAACTAAGCAAACACAAACACATAAGCAAAGAAACAGAACCTCAAACACAAGCTTGAATCTAAGCAATTCATTTTCGTTTTCATTGATACTTTCAATTTCATTGTCAGCAATCCATACTATCCCAAAGTTGTAAACCCTAATTCTCAATTACAAACAGAATCTCAAATTAATAATATAGTTTTGAACCCTAATTCTCAATTAGAAACAAAATCGAAAATTACTTACAGAATCTCAAATCTCTTCCTTCTCTTCTTTTCAGCTTCGTCTCCTTCCTTGTTTTCGTTGATAAAGAGCTTCAAACCTCGCAATAAGCTACAGACCTTGAAAGCTCACAATAAGAGAATTTAATTAGGGTTAAGGAGACTGATAATGGGAGCAGCTTGAATGAGAAATCAAATCGGATGGAAGACTAACCCAGTCGAAAAAACAGAGAAGACGAGAAGTCTGGCGAACGAGAAACAGTCGGAGCAAAAGAATAGAGCTACGGAGAGGACGAGAAGTCGAGAGAAACCCAGCTCCGAATCAGATCTAGGTCGAGACACCGAGCCCAGATTGAAATCGACGCCGGTGGAAGTGGAGATTCTCGCCGGTGAAGCAAGATTCGCCGACGAGCGGTCTGAAACTAGGTTTACGGTCGCCGGTGTTTTCACTCTGAGCTAAGACGAGAGTGTTGTGTTTTTTTTTCCCCGAGTCTTCTCTTTTTTTTGTTTAAGACCAAAGCTTATTTTTCTTGTTTCTTTTTCTAAGTGTTCGCGACTTCGCGGTCTTGGACAAAATTTCACCAAGTGTTGGCGGTACAAAGTGATTTTAGTTTCCCGCTTTGCTATTATTCGTCTTAGCGTTTCTGAAACGCTGTGTTATAGTTACAAAACCCTGGGTACCATCTGTAATAGCAATTGAGTAATCAACGCTATCCTATAGTGCTATCAATGCATACTTTTGTTGTAGTGTACTTAGTTTATGTTATATGTATATGACGTTCAAAAGCAACCTCACGATCAATAATATTGGTTTATGTTGATTATCAAAAAAAAAAATATTGGTTTATGTCTATTTTTCACAAAAAAAAAAAAAACAATTAGCCACAGTACTCTTGTTGTAGCATCTCAACATGTGGTGCTAAATATTACTTTTGTTGTACTTTTTCTTCTAAATATTATTTCATTTATTTAGTTTTGAGATATTAAAGAAAATTCAATTTTCATGTTTATAATCTCTTTTATCTTATAAAGCACAAATCACTATACCAATAATACTGTGACATGTGTCAATTCAAAATTATTTTTTTTTAAAAAAAAACAAGTTTCTGTAAAAATGTGACGAAACAAAACAATTATTATTTTTAAAAAATAAATCAAGTTTCTCCACGATCTTCACAATCTACCGTTACTAGCCATATATAGGAGCATGCTTCTTCTTTTTTCCAGCCTTTCTTAAACAAAAATAGAAAAATAGATTAATTTTTTACTAAAAAAAAATATTTATGCTCCACGATTTCCTACCTTTTTTTATAAATACCTAATTAACACCATCACAGCCATTTGTCAGATGCTTCATCAGTGTTGGATTGTGGTGATACTTCATCAGTGTTGGATTGTGGTGCTAAAAAAGAAGGTTTGCTTTGAATGTTATTTTTATCGATTCACTCGAGAAAAAGATAAAAAGGAAGAACAAAGAAGGCCAAATGAAAGCACATGGTGAGTACTAGCACGTGAGTTATGAATTATGGAGTTAAAATAGATTTGACTATTCTCTATTTTTTGCACATCTACTACGTTTTGGTCTTACTGACATATATTGTTTTGCAGATTTCTTATAAAATCAAGGACAATAAAAACATTAAATATAATGTTGTGATCTATGAATTGCCAAGTCAAGACTCTGGTACATCCCCTATATATTAATAGAGAAACATTTAAAAAAAAAACCTTACCATCATGTGTTATTAACAAGATTGTCACGCTGATGTGTCGCTCTCACAATGATTTGGCTTCTATTTAGATAGTTACCCAAGATTTATTAGACTATTTACAGAATTTGTCATTAGTCTCATACATCCATATATCCCATTAATAATTAAAAACATACACTTTTTGTTATCTTATATTACTATATTTTTATATTTATATATTTCTTTATATACATTTATATAAATTTTCTTTAGTGGATGGGTAAACAATCTTATTATTTATATTTATATTTATGTTTATATTTAAATGATAAAATATATATATTTGGTTCAAGAATCTCGAATTCAAAACTACAAAATCTTTACATCTTTCATAAATTTTTTACTTAAATAAATAAGATAATCTTCTTTCTATATATGTTACGAATACTTAAAATCCTATTTTTTGGAGGAGTTTTCGAATAAAAATATTATAACCACATTTGTATATAAACCAAAATCTGGCCACATTATAACCATTTCGTAAATAATCCATTCATAATCTAAGAATCTTAGATTTGGAACACTACAAAATCTTAGCTTGGAAACTATCAAATCTCATCTTTGCTAAATTTTGGATTTCTTATACTTATTAAAAAAAAAAATTCTTTTTATACTACAAAATCTCGAAATCTTTAAAACATACGGAAAGACATATTGCCATAAATGGTAACATTTCGTCAATACTTTTTTATCACGTTGAAGCTTTATTCAAAGTTTAAATATTTCACGGGTAAAACATATTCTTATATGAAATAGTCCCAAATTTGAATAAAACAAAAAAAAAATTTTAACATGTACAAACGGTTTTTGGATCCCGGATAATAATTTTAATCATAATAATTTTACTTGAATCATTTTATCTCGCACATCGTGCGAGTTGTTATCTTGTATATCATATTTTAAGAGATTTCATTATCTTAAAACATTATATATTTCTCTTCTAACTCAGAAACACATCTATTTCTCTTTTTAATCCAAGAAATGAACAACTTTGGAGATTTAATCTTAATTAGCATGATAATTGTATAATAATTTTGTTGTAGTTATAATAAACTTTCATTTGTTTTTCGTACGTAGTACGGGACTGCATACTAGTATATGCATAAGTCAATAGTTTTGTCCAAAAAAAAATGGTCAATAGATAACAATTTTCTAGACCTCGTTCCTGATTAATTACCTATTTTTTTAGTAAAAAATTAATCTATTTTTCTATTGAAGTTACCATAATTAATTGAAACAGATAATATTAGCGATCAGGTTGACTAATTTAATGCGTGATTTGTATTAGCATTAATACTGTGTTATAAAAAAAGAAGAATGATTTAGACCCTAAAACAAAAAAAAAAAAAAGATAAAGCAAAGATTGACTATATATCTCATCTCACTGTATGAACAGTTTTATAACTTGGGTTTGGTGTCTCGAACAACGTTGACTATTAAGAAAAGATTGACTATTTTAATCTTTCATATAAATTTTCTTTTAGTGGATAACTATTTAAATCTACCTTTTAGGTGTATAAGTGTATTGTTCTTATTATTCATTGTGCTGATTTAAACCAATCATACGGGAATACAAGTCGATTCTTTCTTTTTTCTTATATGTTGAAATTGAAAACGAACCTTTATGAATCTATGACTAATTAAATATAATCATTATTGTTTCCTGCTCCACCAAATGTGTTCTTAATCATTAAAATCAAGATGGTGCAAATAGAATAAATAAAACTATATAAACAGAAAATTTCGTACAAGTTGAAGAGCTTTTAGGTGTAGATAAACAAATGGAAAGTTATTCGAATTGGAAAAAAAAAGGCAATTAGTGGAAGAAAATGCACAAGAATTCCAAGATTGAGGATACACTTAACTTTTAAACAAGTATGTACGTAACACATTTACACACTTATCAACCATCTTATGACCTTTTGAGAGTAGACTAATGAAATGTTCTTCGAAGTAGAAAAACAATTAGTAGTAGAACAATGCCAAGATAAGGTACACTAGCTGTTATCCTCTTAGGTTCTATAAGGTTTTGTGACCTTTTAAGTGTAAACAAATGGAAACCTCTTCGAATTTTAAAAAAAAAAAAAAAGTGGAAGAAAAAACATAACAGAGTCAAGATAATAATAGACTAAGCTCTTATAGTACAAAGTATGTAACACAATTACAAACCCTCATAAAAATAAAAATAAAAACAAATAAAATCAAGAAGCAAAATAAATAAGACATTATGATAGATTCAAAGCATTATTATTCTGATCATGATGATGATGAAACATCAACATGTCGCTACCGTAACTCTCTCTATCATCTTCGCTTCCACCATTGACATAAAAATTGGAAGACGAATCCAACGGTGTCGAGCTGCTTGACGAAGTTCCATGTAGCATTGATGAGCTGAAATTCCATCCGGCCTTAAAATTTTCACCGTCGTTAATTTGATCGGATACAAATGCGGCCGATGAGTAGTTTCCGGTTTGAGGGACTTGGTTCATAGATGGATCACCTGAACCGTTATAACTGAGATAATCTCCCAAGTATTCTCCATTGTTTTGCCATTGAACCGGTGGTGTTGATGAGTTGAGCAAACCGGTGAAAGTGGTTTGATCATTGTTTAGGTCGTTTTGAAGCTGTTGGTTTGGTTGGTATGATTCGGTCTGAACGTTGTTGAGAGAGGCAGTGAGGTGATTCAAGATATCAGGATTAATACTTGAAGTAGTGAGATCAAATGGAGTATTCATCGGTTGTGACATAGATTTAAACAATGATGAGGTGAGAAACGAAGAGAGCTGGAGAAGATTGATTCGGGGACAATGAGTCACCGGATCAATCCCCATTCGTAAGAGTTTCTTTTTTATATGAGTGTTCCAATAGTTTTTGATTTCATTATCTGTTCTTCCCGGCAAGTGAATGGCAATTGCGGACCATCTATCGAAGAAAAAAAAATCGAGTTAGATTTTAAGTTAAAAAAAAAAAAAAAAAAGAGAAGTATAAGTTTTGACTTGCTAAGATAATAGCTGTGTAAAGAGTTGAAGATTGTAAGCTTAGCTTTAGACATTTGACCTTGGTATAGTGCTTATGTTCTTGTCTTTTAGTTGAATAAAATAAAATATGGAAGTAATATTATAAGAAAAATGTAAAGACATGGAAGTCCAATGAAGTAGGTGTAGTAGTGGAAAACTAGGTCATTTTTTTCTTAATTTAATCATACATGTAAACAATTATACACTAGATGAAGAAAAGAAAAATTGAAGAGAGACTAACTTGTTTCCAAGAAGACGATGAAGTTGAATGATGGTTTCTTCCTCTTGAAGAGAGAACTCTCCTCTCTTGATATCGGGTCTTAGATAATTCGTCCATCGCAATCTACAACTCTTTCCGCACCTTTTTAACCCTTTTCAAGATTCACACAAAACTAGAATAAGAACCATGATTGTTTGGATTTAATACTAATGTTGACATTTACATGATATAGCATGATAACCATTATTAGTAAATTTTAAACATAAACGTAAAACAAAACGCAAGAAAACAAATTGTAGCTATTTGTGCTCATATATATGCATGCGTTAGGGTAGGAATTTACCGGCGTTCTTGGGAAGGGTTCGCCATTTTCCGGGACCGTGCGTTTGAATATAGCCGACGAGCTTCTCGTCTTCCTCCGGAGTCCATGGCCCTTTCTTCACTTCACTTTCCTCCGAACTTGAGGATTTTCCCATCTCTTTTCAAATGTTATATGTGAGAGAGCTAGAGAGAGAAGCTAATAGCTTTGAGAACTTGATTACAGAGAAAATTTGGTTTTTTCATGAATTATGTATATACAAATATATATATATATATATGGTACATGCAAAGTCAAGTCAAGGAGATTTGGTACCGCCCTTCCAATCATCTATCTAAATACGTGTCTTTTCTTGATGAAATACGGAGACAAATTAAAAAGAAGTAGAAAAAAAAGCTTATTATGTTGACAAAACAAAAGAGTAAATTTTGCTTTCTAGCTAGTAGTTTTAAAGTCCTTAGTATAGCTCTGACCAAAGAAAAAAAAGGAATAAACAAAAAGCATGAGACTAAACCATCTCTATTAACCCTAAAATAATTAATTTTGATGGAGTGAGAACACATGGCAGAATCTGGGTGGTGTATGAGGATGTGTGATAGATATGGGAAGAAGGTTCCATTTGTTTTGGTCTCTTTGTCTCAAATCATCAAACAGTTTTCAAGATAGCTATGTTGCGTGTATGTTTAATATTTACTCATCAGTCATCACTATACAATTAATTAAGATTATACATAAAATAGACAGATGAAACATATAGAATATTAATGAAGAAGGCATGGTTACAGTTATTATATTGGATATATATATATATATATATATATATATATATAGCCTAAGGAGAGAAAAAAAAGGAAAATATGTAAAGAATGATCAGATAGTGTAAAAAAGTAAAACAATAAAAATCCAAATGGATCTCCATTGTGCTTCATCGGTTGGAATTAGAATCTTCGTGTCATCAAATTTCAGTAGCAAGCCAGATTGTGCTGCTTGAATTTAGAATTCCGATCGAAGTGCTTGAAACTTAGTTCCCTCACCAGAGTTTGATTTTACTACAATAACAATTGCATAATGACAACAATAACTGATAATCTTGGACATGTATTTTGCTTTTACCAAGTTAGGTAAATTAACGACAAAGCGTTGTTGTAGTGCAAGATACGTAAAGAACAAGGCATGTTTTTTTTTTTTTTTTTTTTTTTTTTTTTTTTTTTTTTTGCACCGAACAAGGCATGTTAATAGTCAAAAATAAATGTATGATTAATGAAACAATATTATTTAATATATACATGTGTCTGTAAGTGAGTGAGTGCAAATGCCGCCGGGGTGTCAATGAATTGCAGAGACTTTGGTTTCAATCCGAAACATGGATGATTTGACATGACAAGTCAGGGATTTAAGAACATTTGATTTGATATTTGTAACAAATTATTACTATTTGTTAATTTTGGTTAGTACGTATGTTTTAGATTATTTTGGAAAAGAAGTTATCTGTCTAAGTGTGATTTACGTGAATAGGAAAGATTTGAAATTAGAGAGAATTAATGGTAAATTGACTTTATAAATTAGAAGAATGACCGTAGAAGCTCATTTGGCCCATTGGTTGATCAAAGGTTGATTAATGTTTCTATATCAAGAGGTCTGGGGTTCGAGTCCCAGATATTGCGATTTATTAACAAATTTGCAGATTAATGGGGGCCAGTGTGAAAGAGATCTTCAACGATGTACAATTATAGCCGTTCGCCAGGATTCTACGCAGAGAAGAAAGTGTCGCCTAGTCGTGGATCATTGAAGGGTATTCATCAAGATCACGAAGAAAGAAGTGTAGTCTATCGTGAATCTAGTAAGGGTCGGAAGGAATTGTCAGTTGTAAAATCGTCTATGTAATAGTTCTCATAATTTGCAATTAATAATAAATCTAGACGACAAAAAAAAATTTAGAAGAATGACCAATGTCTTATTGTTTGACAATTAACACCTTGTTTTTGGCTGGATTATTATAAAGATCAAGAGATCTTATTATCTATATATACATTTTTGGATGACTTTTAGCAAATAAATCCTGGAGTTGGAATGTATTTACAAAGAATACCATTGGTTGGGTGGGTTTTTTTTAAAAAACGAGTGACCCGGTTTCAATTTCGGATAGTACAAATTTGGCCCAATAATTTGGCTCAAATCTCTGTTCAACAATATTTGTTTTTGCCACAACGACGAGGCCCAACATTTGGCCCATCACACCCACGTTTTTTCAAAAATTTATTTCGCAAAACCATATTAATTACATAATCTTATTGGTTGTAATCTTCCTAAAATATCTCAAACTTAACTACCAAAATATTCTACACCAAACTTTACTACCAAAATAATCTTCATCATAATCTTAATTATTCCTATCAAATCTAAACTTAACCCAACGAAATATTAAAATAGAAAATTAGTTACTATACATTAACGACATATTAGTTGTAATTTTCCTAAAATATCTCAAACTTAACTACCAAAATATTCTTCACCAAAATTATTTTTGTGTTTCGAAATTGCTTTCCGAGATTGCCAATATTTCCAAGATATCTCCTTCTCCTAAAACAGTCCACCTTAATCTTCAAGTAATTTTGCCCTAAAATATCTGTCAAATTAACGAAATATAAGGGGAATATTAATTACCAAATAAAAGATTGATCCTAGCATATTCCATAAACTCAATAATATCAAAGATTGTATCCCACAAATCTTGCGTGTGTTTCAAAATTTCGAGACTAGCCTAGGTACAAACTAAACCTAATTTAGTTCCCTATATATACTTTACATCTAAACCTTATTCTCCATCACCAAACACAATAGCAAACAATCATTTACAAATAATTAGCATATCTTTCTTCTCTTCCAATGGCTACTACTATTGTCAGTCTATGTATCCTCTGGTAAGGTAAATTCACTTTACCTTTATGTCTTAGTAATTTCAATATGGTTACGAATTCAAACAATCACTAACTAATATGTTTCTTTTTTTTATAACACTCATGCAGGTCACACGTTAGCAACCAATTCAATCAAAAGGAAGAGAATGACACAGCAATATCAGAGAAAGGACAATCAGAATCATATTACCTTGCTATTTTACTCAAACTGTGATCTTTATATTCAGAATTATCCTTCTCACTCACGTTTCAATTTTTATCTACAACAATCTATTACAGTTTATTGCCTATGTCACTTCATTGCTAAGTTTATTTCAAATAAAGTTTTACTGCTAGAGTAAATACGCACCAAGAACTTCTAATCCTTGCTAATTCTTAAACTGCAGTCCACATGTTGCTTCCCAGTTCTCAATGTCCAAAAGACCTCTCAATGATGCAAGGAGCCTAAATTTAATGAATTCAAACAAAAAAACCGCCAAATGTACATAATAATAAACAAGCCATTGACAATGAAACCGATCACTTCTAAGATCATAATATATTCTTACTGACTCTGACCTCTAACTATTCTCAAACTGCAAGCTTCCATTACCATTCCTTCACCTGAAGTTGAATCGCCTAGAAGGAACCGGAGGTTGCTGTGTCTCCTCATCTGGCTCTTCAAGCCACTATTTCTCCATAATTTTTACAGCATTCTCATAGATGTCACTGTTGTCATGGTTCTGACGAAAACCTGCAAAACATAACATATTTGATGCCAAAACTTATTAGATGACACCCAAAATGAAGATGAGAAACCAAATAACCAACCAAAAATAGAGGGAGTCAAACTTTAATTATATTCGAAGACAGTAGCAGCTGCAATTTCACAGAAACAATTCAAAGCCAGAAAAATCAATACAAGATAATCAATCGATTGTGTTTAAAATCTTAAGAAAGGAAACATATAGAAGTACAAATCAGAAATGAGTGAGCGTAACAACATAAGAATTGTTCTTAACAAAGCATAATACTTGTGATTCTACTAAGTTAATAATATGTTCCTCAAATCTACAATCCTAAATGGCGATAATCCCAAGAATTGATCAATCAAAAATCCCATTTTTAACGCTTGATGCTGAAAGAAAAACTTAATCCAATTGAAATCGGAGTAATTTACCAAAGGAAAGTACTGGGTAGAAACAGCGGGAGTGTGCAATCCAGAAACCGGCCCAAATTTGAAGAAGTTCCGGTGGTGGTAGTGTAGACCCGACTCTAGAAAGAACAATGGGAGGTCGAGCACTCTTCAGGTTGATTCATCTCCTTCTCCTCCGCTTTAATCTTACAATCAAGCATCATCGGTTTGAAGCACGAGAGATAACGAATTTGGGATTTCAGAGTTGTCGAAGAATGTGTTAGTGAGGACAGAAGAGGATAAGTTAGGTACCGACAACAATCCCAGGTTGTAATTAATATTACTTATTTTATTTTATTTTATTTTAGACATCATACAACTATACTCTTCCTTTTAACATAAAATTCAATTTTATAGATATGTCTTCATGTATATTTTTTAAAAACAAAGATCAACATGCTTTTCTTTTCCAATTATACATAAATAAATTAAATTGGTTCAGTTTAAAAATCAAAGTTTTTTAAAATTCGAGTTATAACTATAACTATTATGCAAATCATAATTGCCACCCCTAATATTTTCATTCTACAACAAAAATATATAAATTAAAGAGATTAATTATTTAATTTACAAACAAACAAAATGAGAAAACCAAATATTATTTAACTGTTTGTTAAATAATTTAACAATATAATTAACAAACTATTAATGCTACATTATACAAATATATATATATATATATATATATATATATATATATATATACATATATCCTATTGTTTGTGTTTAATATTCAGTTCAATGGATATATCCACAAACTACTATATTATATACCATTATACCTAAAACAAAATTAATATACTCAAAACTATTAATATAGATATATGGATCTTACATTTAGAAAATAGGTCGAAATATTATATTATACTCTCTATTAATAAACAAAACAAATTATATTTGAATTTTTTTTAAAAAAAATTACAGCCCCGCGGTATACCGCGGGTCCAAATCTAGTGTAAGTACATAACATGTTAAATATTATTGTGCCATATATATGAACACGTAAATTTACTTTTATATTTTAGGTTGAATAGAACATGTTAGGTTGATAATAAACAAATTAATCTATCTATAACGTTTTCAACAAGTGTCAAAAATATAAACTTATACCCTTGTTTGAAATATCGCTAGACGCTAGTCGGGCGTTCGGTATGAGCCTATCGATTAATCGAAAAATTGGATTAAAATCGGGGATTAATTGAGAATTAGTTTTAAGGTTGTTTTAATAATTTTAAAACATATTAATCTAATACTGAAAATTACCTAGTTTGACTCAAATTTAGAGAAAAATAACTAGATTAACACCCAAATATTGTGGTTTACTAGAATAACACAAATTTTGTGTTAAAAGACCAAATACCCATTTTATTTTCAGTTCTATTAAAATAAAATAATTAAATTAAATAGAAAATTAAAAAATACAAAAAAAAATTATAAAACCAAAAAACGAAAATTGAAAAAAAAAAACAAAAAATACAAATGAAAAATATATATAATGAAAAAAATAAAAAAA